AGCCGTACATGACCAAGTGTGGCCACAGCTTCTGGTATGTGCGTGTCTGCTCGGAGGAGAAGTGCTTCTGTTCCGTCTTGCAAAACACTCGCAGACCAAGTTCCTCGCAACCCAAGGTTTTACTGTACTTTGTGGTTGCATTCCATTTCTTTCCACCGTCCGGCGAATGCGCGACTATATTCGGTGATTGGTAAATTTTCCAATGATGCTGATAACGGTGATTGCCAATTTACTCGCCGTTGCATTTTGTCTGCGTTTCAGTTGCAAATGCATCCGTCGGAGTCTGGAGGAGAACAATAGCTGCCCAAAGTGCAGTTCCGCCATTAAGAATTCAAAGCAGATATATCCAAACTTCCTCTGTGAGTTGTTTTTTACTAATTTTCCATCCACCTGCATTTTTCGCAAATTTTGTTTCACGGCAATGCAACACAGGCCTTCAACGATTGATGCTCTGCAAACCTCCTGGCTACCATCAAAGGTTTGTTCAAGTTCAAGTTTCATGTATTAGGTGTAGCCATGTGAGCCATTCGGCTCTTGAATCGGGTGCAACTGCAACAAACAAAAAACAAAAACATGAACAAGAAAACATCTTAAAGTGAATATGTGACTGAGTACAAACAGAAAATCCAAGAAAAGACAGCAAAATATTGCAGAAAAAACACCGTACACCAACGCTGTGTGCAAAAATCCCAGTGGGGATGCAAGTCAAACAACAACAACAACAACCACAAGACAGCTTAGATTAAGGCCATCAGTCTAACTCTGTACTACAACAACACAAACATGGCTAAACCAATACACTTTTCGAAATCACCAAAATAAAGCCATGAAAGCAATGAAAAAGCAATCATAGGAACTGTGACGGAATTTTACACGAAGCCATCCAGATATACAAACACAGACGTAACTTCAACTAATAAAAGTAAAATAAAAATAAAATAAAAATCTTTTATTTTTATTTAACTTTTATTAATTTTAATTTTTTACCTACGTGACTTTACCGAAAAAACCTAAGAATATGAATCCTTGCAGTCACGAAAGCTTCAAATCTAGAATAACTTCAACTGTGATGATGGGTACAAACTGAGTAATAATGGGAAAGATGTTATTAACCATGCAAAAAAGATTTAACGACACATATTTGGACCATCTTATTTAACAGGTACTATTCTACTTTACCGAGCGTTGACATCCCGAGCGTTTAACAGTACTCTCCTTTTTAAATCCTTTATATTAAGTTCGCTTGCTTGCTTGCTTGCGCGCTTACGACCGTGCAAATCTTTCGGTCGTTTTTTATTTAAATCCTTTATATTAAGTTTGCTTGCTTGCTTGCGCGCTTACGACCGTGCAAATCTTTCGGTCGTTTTTTAACCCACTTCCCGTGATCCAATCGAGCTGACATTTTGCACACAGACTCGTTGTGCGTGACAATTAATTTTAGTGAAAAAAATTTTACAAAATTTTACACTTTTTAGGAAAAAATTAATTATATTTAATTACCAATTGCTTAATGGTGGCAGGCAATCATCTGACCCATAGGTGGCAGCCATCTCAAGCCAGAGGACGAGAGGACTCTAGCCGCCACGCATATAAAGGATTTATAGTGAAAAACTTTGTTTTTACGGGTTAATTTTTTACCTACCTGACTTTACCTAAATAACCTAAGAGTATGATGCTCGCGTTGTTTAATATTTAACAGCTTTTTCCCCCACACGCGTCTTTTCGCAGTGAACGAGCTGGTCCTGAAGCAGCGTCAGCGGCTAGAGAATCGAATCGAGATGGAACAACCGGTGATTGGAGATGTGCAGGGAAAAACATCACTGGCACATTTTATAGTAATAGGTTTTTACCCTTTCAATTGGTACAAAAACTGTCACCTTTGTACCAGTTGAAAGGGTAAAAACCTATTACTAGATTTTGCCACTGGTAAAGGAGATGTCTCATAGTGTAAATGCTTACCCCGAGCTCTCAATACTCTGATAGTGCATTGTCTTTGAGTTGTACGCCTTTTGGCGTCATCTGGTCCAACACCAATGGAGACTGGGCTCTAAGAAAAGCTGTCTCGGGTGTGGACCAATCAACTTCAAGGACAGTGCATATCATCATCAGAGTTGTGTCTTTCTGTTTGCATTTTGACTGCTTGTGTTGTGGTTATTGCACACATGATGCCTTGTATAAAGGTGTCAGTTTTTGTACCAGTTGAAAGGGTAAAAACCTATCACTATATTTTGCCACTGCTAAAGGAGATGTGGCCAGATCGCTACTGAGAAAGAGGTATGTAGCTCAGTGGACCTTAGCTGGCCAAACTAAAATGTAACATTTTTGTTAAATAGTCCTCTACATGGCCCACGGTTGGAGGTTACTGGCCGAAGACGCGCCGTGCGCTACGGTCTGTCGGTGTCGCGTGGACAACGCAATGAACTTTGCTGAAAGTTCAAGTTCATTGATTAGGTGTAGCCCTGTGAGCCATTCGGCTCTTGAATCGGGTGCAACCGCAACAAACAACAAAAACATGAACAAGAAAACATCTTAAAGTGACTTTGTGACTAAGTGCAAACAGAAAATCCAAGAAAAGACGGCAAAATATTGTAGAAAAAACACCGTACACCGATCCCAGTGGGATGCAAGTCAAACAACAACAATAACCACCACCAGACAACTTAGATTAAGGCCATCAGTCTTTCTCTGTACTACAACAACACAAACATGGCCAAACCAGTAAACTTTTCGAAATCACCAAAATAAAGCAATGAAACAGTGATCACATAGGAACTGTGATGGAATTTTCACAATAAACGACAAACAACATGTACCACCAGAACCCTGCTGAGACGACTCCCGGCAAGTGCTTTTCGCACTTCACGGAGGTGACCGGCCACGTCTCTTGATCACCGTGTCACGTGACCCTTCCACCCTGCCGCCCCCCCCCCCCCTCTTCCTCACAGAGCGTCCATCAGCGGCAGACTATCCAGGAGTTGCTGGCGCTGGACCGAGATGGCTTGGAGCTGGCCGACGTGAACTGCATTCTGGAGCTGCTCACTCAGAAGAAGATGCAGCTGGAAGCGGTGAGTTGGCGTTGATTGTGACGGCGGCGTCAGGAGCAGTGCGGTGCCGCAGAGCTCGCTTGTCGAGAGGGCTTTCCCCCTTTTTTCTGGCAACAAAACTGATGAACACCATATGAGACTGGGCTCTAAAGAAAGCTGTCTCTGGTGTGGACCAATCAGTTTCAAGGACAACGCATAAATGATCAGAGTATTGTTTTTTTGTTTGCATTTGACTGCAAGTATTGTGGTTAATGTAAACATGATTCAATCTTAATTTTGGAGCTTTCGTGACTACAGGAATTATTCTTTGGTTCTTTCGGTTAAGTCATGTCTAAAGATAAAATAGTAAATTAAATAATTGCATATTACGACGCTTCGATTGCAACCAGGGGCGGTTTCTTCATTAGGGCGATTGGGCGACACACCACCAATCTCATTCAACCACAGAGTCACGCTAGCCGTCACTGTGCCTCTGGATATAGTCCAATCAGCGTCATGTCACGTTCTGTGGAGTACCGCCTCTTTTTGGGCGATTTCACTCCGGCTGAGAATCGCCCAGAGTATTCTTAGTCTTAAGCCTCACCTTACCATATTAATAAAAAAGTGTGCCTTTCCGGGCCCTTCCCCCCTCAACCATTATATATACGGTGTGGTATTTCTTGTGATCTCTCATTTACTTGATACGGCTGTCGTGGCTGTGACGGTTCCACCTGAAGACGGAGGCTTGTGTTGCTTCCGAAACGTCGTGATTTTTTATTTTATTTTGTTTTATTTACTTTTATTAATTTAATTTTTTTACCTACGTGACTTTACCGAAAAAACCTAAGAATATAGTATTCATCCAAGCTACCAAGATCTGGACCAGTTTTTACCTGCCGGGTCTTAGTCATCAGTCAGTCTTGTTCAATAAACCCCGCTGGGCTAAGCGCTGACGTCAGTTGTTTGCGATCAGCACGGCACTCCCACAAGCCTGCAGGCCTAACTGGGGGATCTCTGTTTGTGTGTCCGTGCGATCTGCAAGACTCCACCTTTGCTCGCACCGGTGACAGTGGCCAAGTCGCCTTACAAGGGCGGCATCCCCAAGCCCCTTGCCACGGGGGAGGTCGTGAAGAAAAAGCGAAAAGTTTTGCATCTGTCGGACTCTGAGGGCTCGGACAGCATGGATTTTACGGTGAGTAATGCGACTGCTTTGATTGAAATTCTTTGGACGACGCAATGGGACTCGATCCACTCTCGTAGGGACAAAGCGGCTCGCTTGAGCGCTAGGGATGATTGGGTCATGTGTGGATGTTCACGCTGGATAGAAGCATTCTCCTGATGTGCGGTGCGCTGTGAAACTCAGAGCTCGACCAACTGGAGGGAGAGTTTTTCCCAGATAATTAAATAATTGCTGTAATCTAATAAACTATGTCATTGTAATCTAAGCCATTCATTTGACAATAACATTAAACAAAAAAATTACAATTTAAAAACAAAAATCACTTCTGCAGTTTAATGCGAGTCTCCATCACCATCAATCAGATTCAAAGGGTCACTGGATGTGGGAAGGTGGAATAAACATCTTGACGAGCTTGGAGCATTTGTTCAATGAACGTAGGATGAATGTGCCAGAGACGGAGAGTGCTCAGAAAGCATGCCCGTGACCAAGGGACGGGTTTCTGAATTCCCAAAATAAAAAAAATGCAAATGTAGATTTGCTCGTACAGTGCACTCGTATTCCGGCAAGGCCAAATAAATGTTTTAAATTGCAGGATCTTTGCATGATTTTTTTCCATTGATATTCACGTTTATACGTTAGGTCGACGAAGAGCTGCTCGCAAGTGTGTCGGGCGTGATGCCGTCCAAGCGAACTGAACAGGCCAGGGCAGCAGGCAAGATGAGATCTGCCGTCGTTGTCACGAGTGTCAAGACGGTGAGTGCACCAGACTCGCAGTGCCGTTTGATCTCCCGGCGCGGCAGGTTAAACAATGCTAATGATGATGATGATGTCACGCACTTTTTTCTCTTACTCCAAAATATCATTGTTGCTCTTCAACAATCTTTCACGTGGTGAGCCGCTTCGTAGAGCTGCTCGCGCTTGTGGCCGGGACGCTTCTGTAAGAGAAGCTGATGGTTTAGTGGGCCTTGCCTGGTAAGATAAACATCTACTTCAAGGACGGTGCATACATTATCATAGTTGTGTTTTTTGTTTGCATTCCGACTGCAGGTATTGTGGTCAATGCAAACATGGCTCCTCGAAAAAAAGGTGTCAGTTTTGTTGCCAGATAAAAGGGTAAAAAAAACAATTAAGAAAAAAATGGTTTAGGTTTTTTTTGTTTATTTAAAAAAAAACCGTTTTACCTTCCCTACACTTTGCGCTCCTATTGTGTTTTTGTATTGTTTGTTGTTGTGAAATGTGAACGAGCTCACCTGGCATACAGGAGGTCTCCCCGTGGTCGCGTGGATTTTTCTCCAGGTTCTCCGATTTTCCCCTCCACGTTGACAAACACGCTCTCAGAGTGTTTGGCTGCTGTACATGTCCACGTGATAGGCCACTTGGTTGAGCTGTCATTTGTGGCCAGTACACTTCTGAACAAGAGCTATACAGCTCAGTGGGCCTCACCTGGTCAAATAAAAATACAAAGTGAATAGTTCTGGACATCTGTGAAAAACAGCTTCATATCTCATCGGATTCCTCCAGTATCAATACATCTTCTCATTGTCTATAAATGGGCGCACCGTTTCATTGCTCGCCTGCTTGTGTGTGCTGGGGTCAAGTTGCAGGTGTATTCCCACCATCCTCCAAGACGCCGTGTACAGCGGTCACCCTCTGTAGAACTCCCACCAGAGCTCCTTCTGCCTGCAGTGACGTGACTTCTTCTCTTTCCCACGTGTCTCGCTGCATTTCTTCTGGCGGTTGCTCTCATTCCCAGTCCACGTGTAGCGGCATCAATGCAGTCACCTGATTGGTCACCCCACCCGTTCAAGCCAACTGTTTTGACCAATCTGCAATGAGCCCACTGATGAACGTAGATCTCAGACACGACGCAGGGTTGAGTCGGTGGGAGACTGCCGGGGACTGCCAGGCTTGGCCTACGAGGTGGTCAGGAGATGGCAGTGTAGCCATGGATTCTTGACTCTATCAGTGTGGAGCTTTTGAGTGCTCCCCCCCCCCCCCTCTTATGTAAATGCTGTTTAATGTTTACAATAATATTGTGTTCGTGTCAGATGTTTTGAGCCCTCGTTTTCACGTTGACATTCTTGTTTTTGTGGCATTGAGACTTCATCGGCCACAATCATTCCACTTCCGGACGAAGACCTCCCCGCGCAATCGCCATCTCTCACGATCCACCGCAGGAGCCGTGCACCTCGTCACGAGAGACGAACACCAAGCCACGCTCACTTAAGCAGAAGGACCACTTTAGACTTCTGACGATGCCCAATTGTCTTCGATGTGTTCATTTGTTACAGGCGATTGAGATCTCAAGAAAAACCACGTTGACAGCAAAGATCAAACAAGGGAAGATGGTCTCTGCATCACCTTCCATCAAGCTTCCTGCAAAACGGCGACACTCACCCTTTGACTGGTTTGAGGGTCCAGATGTCGACACCACTTCTGAATCTGAGGATTAAAAGAGAATCGGAGTTTGTTTTGAGGGACGTTGTTTTACGTTCCATTGTTCTTGGCGAAATGGTAGCCAGGGTGGAGACTTTTAGCCACCGCAGTTCAAATGTTTTGGGTGTTCAGTTTTAAGTCGCTGCTTTTCATCAATTTTCAGAGAGGAGGTGGGGGGGTGGACACTTTCGCCGTTAACACTGGTCAACAACACAACGTGTTTTTCTGGCCTGGACTTTTGCAGCTGTTCTAGACTAATTTCAGGGTGCTGATTCCAAATCTGATCTCAAATTTGCTCAATCACATCTCATTTTTAAATCCTTTATATTAAGTTCGCTTGCTTGCTTAGGACCGTGCAATTCTTTCGGTCGTTTTTTAACCCACTTCCCGTGATCCAATCGAGCTGACATTTTGCACACAGACTCGTTGTGCGTGACAATTAATTTTAGGGAAAAAATTTTTACAAAATTTTACACTTTTTAGGGAAAAATTTAAATATTTAATTACCAATTGTTTAATGGTGGCAGACAATCATCTGACCCATAGGTGGCAGCCATCTCAAGCCAGAGGACGAGAGGACTCTAGCCGCCCCGATGCCACGCATATAAAGGATTTATAGTGAAAAACTTTGTTTTTACGGGTTAATTTTTTATGCTATCGGCATACCCCATTTTCATCGATTTTACCCGAAATTAACTCTGTCACTTATGATTGCAAGTTGTTGCGAGTCAGTGACTGCTTTAGTGTTAAAATATGGTGCTGTATTTTTAGGATAGTGTGTTTATAATATCATTTTATGTAGATATCCACATTTATTTAATATTTTTCTTCTGCAGTTTTTATTGAAAATGCAATCTTTGATATCTCAAAAACATTTTTATTGCATTTTGATTGTAAAGTGAACGTTCATTGTTTCTGTTCGTTGCGTGTACGCTCAAAATTAAAGCGCTTAAAATCGCAAGCAATTCCGTGCTTTTTTTGTATTCAACGTAAGGAAATACACTCGGAAAGGTTGTGAGTTTGCGAAACCCGTCGCGGGTACCAACTCAGCCCCTTCACCCATTGTGAACATCATCGCCACTGTCGGAGGTCAATCGTGGTTCCGTCCTAATAGCTGCAGAAAGCCGAAGAGTCTTCGCCAACATTGTCAACGCGCGTCCGGAATCTTCTACAGGTGCAGGTCTCCAGAGGCCGGAGGCAGCACGTTCTCCTGTGGTGCTGTTGTTGCAAAGTCTCAGAAGTGTTCACTTGTTTTTGAAGCACTCCCCACCCCCCCCCTGTATTCACAACAGCATAAGAGAGACGGGGGAGGATGACTGTGCGTGTACATGCACGCTATTGAGTGGCAAACTTTCACGCGACTGGCAAAAAACCAGGACTTGCCAAGTCACGTTTCTGCGAAGAGTTGGAGATATCCCACGGGAGCCGACCTCCATAAGAGGATGATCTTGGGGGGGGGAAACCAGTACGGGTGGCAAACTCGCGTCGTAAAGAATTACAAATGATAACCGTGGCAATCTAGTGATATCAATTTAATGAAATGAAATGCATCAATGCAGGGATATTACATCAACGCAAGGACAGGTGGCAACCTCGCGTCTTAAAACAAAAATACTGTAAAAATCACTCGTTTTGAAAATATAGTGGCGTCACTTAAATGAAATTCGATATGACGTCAGCGCGGGGGAGTCGTGACATCGGTTCACGGTGACCTTGGCGTCTTTGTTCGTTTTGCTCACTAGACGGGATTCGAAGCCGTGTCCTTCACGTGTCAAGGGTGACCCACCCTTCCTGTCCTGTCCCCTCGGCAATGCTGCCTCCACAGGGACAACCAACCCCTCTATCCCTAATGAACATCTGTTGCATCACCCAATTCCCTGACCCCCACCCCTGCCCCCAGATTGTGCCCGATGTAGTACAGGGACTACCTCTACTTACAAACATTCGACTTGGGAATTTTCAGAGATACGTACAAACCTGTCCGTATGTCCCGTTACCGCAGTTCAACGATGCGATTGCCCATCACAAGTTGATTTGTGCAGAGATGAAGAGAACAACTGTGCAGACATCTCTTAATAGGTATTTCAAGAGAATAGAGAGGAAACACGTGCCAAAGGGAATTAGCATCTACATCTGCAGAACGTGAAGAATCAGTGGCATCTACATCTACAAAACGTGAAGAACCAGTGGCATCTACATCTGCAGAACGTGAAGAACCAGTGGCATCTACATCTGCAGAACGTGAAGAACCAGTGGCATCTACATCTACAAAACGTGAAGAACCAGTGGCATCTACATCTGTAGAACGTGAAGAACCAGTGGCATTTACATCTGCAGAACGTGAAGAACCAGTGGCATTTACATCTGCAGAACGTGAAGAACCATGCAGGCATCTACATCTGCAGAACGTGAAGAAACCAGTGGCATCTACATCTGCAGAACGTGAAAGAACCAGGTGGCTTCTACATCTGCAGAACTGTAGAGAACCAGTGGCATCTACATCTGCAGCAACGTGAAGAACCATGGCATCTACATCTGCAGAACGTGAAGAAACCCAGTGGTCAATTTACATCTGCAAGAAACGTGAAGAACCAGTTGGCATCTACATCTGTAGAACGTGCTAGAGAACCAGTGGCATTTACATCTGCAGAACTGAAGAACCAGTGGCATCTACATCTGCAAGAAACGTGAAGAACCAGTGGCATCTACATCTATCAGAATGTGAAGAAACCAGTGGCATCTACAGCCTCTCTCCCTCCCTGCCCTTTTGTCTCTCCCCTTTCGTGCCCCCCCTGTCTCTCTCCCTCCCTGCCCCCCTCTCCCTCCTGCCCCCCTCTCTCTCCCCCTCTCTGCCCCCCTCTCTGCCCCCCCGTCTCTCCCCTCTCTGCCCCCCCGTCTCTCTCCCTCCCTGCCCCCCTCTCCCTCTCTGCCCCCCCATCTCTCCCCCTCTCTGCCCCCCCATCTCTCCCCCTCTCTGCCCCCCCGTCTCGCTCCCTCCCTGTCCCCCTCTCTCTCCCCCTCTCTGCCCCCCGTCTCTCTCCCTCCCTGCCCCCTCTCCCTCTCTGCCCCCCCATCTCTCCCCCTCTCTGTCCCCCCATCTCTCTCTCTCTCTGCCCCCCCATCTCCCTCCCCTCCCTGGGCCCCCGTCTCTCTCCCTCCCTGCCTCCCCGTCTCTCTCCCTCCTTCCCAACTGAATCGCCCTAACCCTCTCGCTTATAAGTCGACGAAGGTTCGGCGCCCATCTGATGTCTCTCTCTCTCTTCCTGTCTTCCCCTCGCCTCCCTTCTCTTTGCCGATCTCTCGCGACGTCTTCTGCCCCTCCCCCATCTCGCCCGTCTCTCTCGCTCCGTCTGAACCGGACCCCCCTAGCCTCTGCCTCAAGAACCGTTGAATGAAATCCTTGATGTTGTCTCTATCTCTTGCTGTACTCCCCTCGCCGCCTCGTCTCTGCGTCTCTCGCTCGCAGCGTCTCTGGCCCTCCGACTGTTGCTGCGCCGTCTCTCTCTCCCTCTTCCCCTCCCGCTCCCGACTCCGCCCCGGTTCCGTGCCCCTCAGGCCGAGCTCCTGCCCTCGCTGACCTTCATCTGCCCCCCCCCTTCGCTGCCCTCCCTCACGAGACCTCCACGCACAATTCCTTGGTCCCATCCCTCCTCGCCTCGCTCCCGCACTTCTTCATGGAAGCTCTTCGTGGGACGTGTCTCCTCCGGGCGCCGTTCGGCCTCCTGCAAGCACTCCTGCCCGCACCTCCTGCACGCACTCCTGCACGCACCTCCTGCACGCACCTCCTGCAAGCACCTTGTGCACCGCCACTGCCAAAGACAAAGATCCCCCGTATAGCCTCTAACAGAGTAGCAGCACTTATCAAGGCCGGCACTGTGGCACACGGGGGGGGGGTCACCACGATGCTTGTGCACACACCACACACACAGTCACACACAGTCACACACACACACAGTCACACACAGTCACACACCCCACAGTCACACACCACACACAGTCACACAAACACAGTCACACAACACCACAGTCACACACAGTCACACACAGTCACACACACAGTCACACCACACACAGTCACACACAGTCACACAAACACAGTCACACACCACACACAGTCACACAAACACAGTCACACACACACACAGTCACACACCACACACAGTCACATACCACACAGTCACCACACCACACACCACACCCCACACACAGTCACACACACACAGTCACACACCACACACACCCCACACACAGTCACACACACACACAGTCACACACAGTCACAACACCCCACAGTCACACACACACACAGTCACACAAACACAGTCACACACCACACACACCACACACACACCACACAAACCACCTGGAATGAATTGTGCAGTGTACTGCAGCTGCTGCTACTGCAGCTGCTGCTGTGCTGCTACTGCTGCTGGAGAGACGTCGCTGCGCCTTCGAAAGAGGCTGCTGCAACTTGCTGAATCCGCTCCCTGTTGAGCTGCACTACTGCAAGTTCAAGTTCATGTATTAGGTGTAGCCCTGTGAGTCTGGTGCAACCGCAACAAACAAAAAACAAAAGCATGAACAAAAAACATCTTAAAGTGACTATGTGACTAAGTGCAAACAGAAAATGTGGCGAATGGGGGTTGTTGTTGTTGTTGTGTGTGTCGGTGTGTGTGTCTGTGTGTGTGACTGTGTGTGTGTCTGTGGTGTGTGGACTGTGTGTGTGGTGTGTGAGTGTGTGTGAC